TTTTTTTTTGACGCAGAGTATCTCTATCGGTGAATAAAGTCGCAATTCCAATTCTTCAGTACGTTTCCCAATCAAATTACGTTGATAACCGGATTTTAAACAGCACTTCTAAAAAGATAAATTGTAATTGGTGGATAATCAAGTATTAACATTTTTTATTGGCGATTTAACCTCAGAAGCAAGAAGGAGCCTGGTTGGGTTTTGGCGATGTTGCAGACCACCCGCGTTGTTAAGGCCTTGTCGTACGAAGAGTTTCACTCAACTGCGGCTTCAGAAACCTCAAGCTTTTATGACTTAAAAAGCTTTTGCTGTACGGCTGCTTATTGATTCGTTTTTGACTTTGTTTTCTTCAGGATTCCAGCAGATAGAATGTCTTTACTAGGTGCTTCTGATAGGTAATTTGCAAGTTACAAACTGTTAAATGTTCCGCCTGTCATTTTTAAGCGGAAATATGTTTCCTCAAGAAAGCCATTCATATCTAATGTCATTTCGCTGCTGAAGTCTTTTACGAAGATGAACATGTTTGTGGATGTTGTTTGAGAAGTTTGAATCTAGACATTTTTGTAAGTCAAATTTTTAATATCACTTGATGGCAATGTAAAACGTTGGTTACAAATTGCGTTAGGCGAGTCTGCGTAAAATTTGGGTCGTCTGTTCGTTTTCTTACTGCTACCGATTTTGAAGGCTCGTGAAATGTACGAATTTATGAGTTTTAGCATTTTTCGCGGTAAAATTTTTGTTGTTGTCAAATTCCGGTATTGGTACTATTGAAGACTTACTAATGTACACTGAAATTAAAGAAGCCGTTAATTTCTTGGCCATCTTCATGAGCCATAATGTTGCTCGTCTTCGTGTAAGTAATTTATGCACTCTTTTTATATATGAAACGTTTTACACTTTCTTCTTTCAAAAAAGTTAGCCTGATTAGCCACAACCACTAGGTGTAATTTATGATCACAGTTATCTGTTTTACAACACTGGTTGAGCGACAAAAAACAGTTACTAAGTCTAAATGCTTCTAGCCTCACTCTGTTATAGAAAGTCGCTTTTAGTTAGGAGCCATCGTTGAACAGTATGCAAATAATCTTCTTATTAAATACCGACAGACTTGGAAACCCGATAATCCCAAATACGGTAAGGCAGTGCAAATTGAAATAACCGCAGTTCTGCTTTTAAAGGCTTTGCCGTTTTTGGTTTTACCATTCGATTATAATATCGATTTAACAACTACAGAAAATTTTGCGCTAGCGGTTCATAAGCGTTTTGATTTTTTAACATTTACCTATCACTTAAGCTGAATGAAATTTGGCCTCAATATGATTCGAAACTGGCAAATTTTAAAAAAAATTGTCAGAGAATCTAAATTTGTTTTTGCTACGGTAAAACTCATAGGTTTGGTAACATAAAATAAGTAAATGTAATTACTTGTTTTTCTGTATCAAAATAGCTAAAATTTTTATTTTTGATAATCTTTATCATAAGAATATTATATAAAACAGTGATGAGCCAACTTTACCTTCTAACTTCGTCATTTGATTCTCTGTGGAGTTCATTATTGCTTAAAAGTTTAAAATGTTTGGTGCATAGACAAGAAATTAGTTAGAATTTATTGCCTTTACAATTTAATTTTTCATTTTTTACGGCAATTGTGTTTTACTTTTTGAAATAAAAGATTAGTAGAGTAACAACAGTAGTTTAAAAGTCACAAAAATTCTTTTTTGCAGCGAATTGGTTTGTCTTTTTACTGTTATTAGGTGTAGCAAAGTCCGCTTCAACTGCTGATTAAAAAAGTTTATTGTTCAGTCAAAATTAGAATTTAAGTGGTGACAATCCAGGAACTGCTGAAGAAAATGAAAAGTTTAGGGCAAGAAGAACGAGCGATTCGTATTGACGATCACCGAGTACCGGAACATCTGTTGAGTTCGATACTGCTGCAGATGGGAATTGATAATGCTGTTGCACTTTCTTGTTTTCCACGTACTGTTTTCTTATTTCATATTTCTTGAAAATAATATGCTTTTGAAATATTATTTTATAGCAAGATTTCAGCTCTGTGTTTTGCCTTGTCACGAATTAAATTTGGTTGTTTTAGCCAATTTAATCGTTTATTGTAATCCTGGAGAGGTTTTCTATCAAATTGTTGGAAAGCAGGAAATTACACACTTGTGGGCTGGCGATGTAAATGCGGATATGAGGTATACTCCCAGTGCATCTGGTGCAAATTTGGTCTTTTTTCAGTCAAACAGATCGGAATTAAATTCACTTTGGGCTTCCTTTTTCTCTGGTGTTCCAGGTCAAGGTATGGTTGCTATTACCTTAAATTTGATGAGGGGGAGTAGAACTTGTTGGCAATTGTAAGATATTTTTTCAGATATACAGCAGAGGTCAAAAATACTGATGGATGCCATAGACACACCGAAGGACCAGACTCCTGTACTACTTCAATTAGTTAAAGCATCGCGTTTTCCTGGATTTCCACCTTCAGCCTCTAAATCTGCTATTTTTGGAGTAAGTTTTGCAGTAGGAAGGCAAAGTGAAGAGAAATTTTTTGTTAATGCATGAAACCAGTAATGTTGTCGTGAATATAGAATACCAAATGTTAGTTACAATAATTTTTTGATGCAGTTAATACTTGTTGTAGAATATCGCCCTAGTGTTTTCATTTACACCAGCCGATAAGGAGCCAATTACTGCAGTCACTTTTAAAGAAACTCGATTCGGTTCACATACGCCTCGAATTGATCATGAATTCTTGAACAGACTCCGGCAAGGCGCAGCCCGTAAAGCATTACTTACTCCATCACCTCATCCTAATGCTATGACTATTAATGCAATTCGTATGTACTTCGCTCGAATTAGAATCGTAAAGTGCAATTTTGGAAAGCTATTGAATTTGGTGTCTTACCTGTTTTTAACATATCTTTTCACTATTTCAAACGACTAGGGAAAATAATTTATTGATTGAAACTTTATAATTTCTACTGCGTTTTGTCACTCATCAGTTTTACGATATTTTCGATTGACACTCCTTTACTTTTGTTGCTTCATTTATCATGAAGTTTTGTATCATTTTTGCCATTTGCGTAAATTATTTTGCAGCCCCTCATTTTGCTGGGCGATTTATGGATATGGAAATGCCACCTACTGGTGACGGTATGAATATTGTTTCGTCACCAGCAGCCTTTCAGAAAATGCAATTTGCGGTTAGTAAACTGATATTTTAGATAGGGTATTAATTCCTCTTTTTATTTTATTTTCATACTTGTTTTTTTTTTCTTCTTCAACTTAAATCAATACAACTCAGTTTTATAAGCTTTTGAAGCTTGGAGAACCTTCGCATTATACTGATAGTTGGTGATGTAAAAATATTTTCACAGAACAAGCAAAACAAAGTTTTATGTGCCAAACTGCATGTTGACAGTAACAAATTGCATTACTCCATTATTCGTGACAGCTCCAGAGCACTTCAAATTATTCCCCTAAATATAAATGCTGTCTTCTTATGCTATCATTTAAGATAATGTTTTTCTAAATAAAAGTATTTGGAGATTTATTTCAGTTTAAAATATTGAGCAGGTCTGGGCAAAGCACATTCCGCTTGATCAGGTCTTCGCTTACAGTACTAACCAACGTTGAGCTGCTGAAGTGAAGGGGGTGAATGAGGATGTAGCGAAGGGAATCGCAATAGGAAGTGGAATGTTACCTTTTAGTCTTCAAAGCCTTCGCGATAAGTCCCGTTTTAGTTGCCAGACTAGAAGCAGTGTTTGTACTGAGTGATCTTGTTTACACTGCACAAGTTGTTCTAATCCGATTCTGTTGCCTCTCACCGTCCAGTATTTCAGAACACGTTTTCGTAAAGTTCTAGTATTAAATATGGTCGACTGCAGACAGCGAGGCCATTAGCTAAAAATTCGTCATAGACTTTTTGATGGTGTCGATCGGTTCAGCTTCATAAATTGCATTCATGCTTTAATAAGAGAAAAATTTTAAAAGTCAGGCAGAATGATTTATTAAAGAAAAGAGCTATAAACCATTACAAGAATTAAATGTAGTATTATAAAAAGATAAATGATTTTTTCCTGGAAGTACGATGACATAGTCGTGAGCAGACTTCCGCTGGAAAACATTCACTTCCAAATAGTAATTTCTGACGAGGGAGGAAGGCATAGTGTCACCTGTATTGCAATGCTTTAACCTTGATTCTATTTCACTAATGTTCACTCATTGCAAAACGTTTGTTTCGATGCGCACTATTTTGCGGTTTCAAAAGGAAGCAAAAATAAAGCAGAACTACGGTAGTTCTTATATAGGCCACAAGGTTTTTCTTGTAAAAATTCAAGTTTGCGGCTTTGAATTCGCCTGATGTTGAGTTCTTGAGAACAAAACCTATGGGTGGCTTGTGGGCCTTTTTTTAAGAGAGTCTTTTATTTTTTGCACTTTTCTTTGTTTTTGTTTTTTTGTTCGGAACTATTTTACTTTCTCGGGAAAGGTTACAGGAAATAAATAAATATACGAATATAAATACATAAGCAAATAAATGAATGAATGAATGAATAAATAAGTAAACAAATAAATAAATAAACAAACATAA